GTTACATTAATTTTTTATATTGTGCAACGTAGCTTTGCAATACACGGCAATAAAAAGTAAGTGATAACTGTATTGAATTGGATCTGAACTTGATCTCCAATTTAGAGAGGTGACAACAACTATATACTGGTGAAGTTTCAGGAGCAATGGGTTCTGTATAATATTTCGTGTAATAATTGACAGGATGTTTTGAGTGATATAAAAACATTGATATTGGAAGAATATCTCAAAAAGTAGTGTATATGGCTGACTGCTTCTTTTTTTGTTATGGATCATTCTTGGCATGATTATATATATTATATACGAGAGTTATGTATTTTAATTCATAGTATCCGGTAAATTGTAAAAAATTAGCCGAATTAGTTTTCATTCATTCCATGCGATATTAGACACGTAATATTTTGTTCTGGGACATTCAATACACATCAGGATCACTTTTAGAAAAGTATATATTTATTATATATAAATAAATAATGTTACAAAAAATATAAAATAAGATATAAAATAAGATATAAATAAATAAAAAAAGAAATAATAATAATAATTCACCACGTGTAAAAAAAATTGATCATTAATATTAATAATAATATAGTAGTAAAAAAAATGAGGCGTCGTAGTAGTAGTAGGACTAAGAGAACAAAAGAAAGAAATTTAAATACGAAAAAAAAAAAAAATGAACAAAGGAAATAAATATTATTTAATATTATTTTATAAAAAAGCAAAACGAAGACGAAAACGGAGAAATAAAAGAGATTAATATAAAAAAAGAATTTCATAAAATTATTAGTTTTTTTTTTTTTTTTTTTGGTCGTAATAAAGAAAGGTTTGTTTTTTAATCATAAAAAATTGATGTTAATATATCTTATCTTCCCGAATCTTAATTTTGTTGTAAAACTTAAAAAAGTGAAATTTCTTATTATTTTGGTTAATTAATTATAGCCTTTTAGCAAAGCCAGCATGATAAACGAAGCTCGTTTTGTGATCATCACATTCGGCTTCGATAATTTTAAATTCATCATTAGTGGGAGGCGTGTTGGAGGTTGTTGTGAGTAATAGTTTAAATGCCGAGAGATATAATTCACCGACCTAAATCATAAATAATTTATA